ACCAAATTATTTTTATTTTTCTGTTGCATTCGTGAAACATTTTAAATAAAGGCATTCTTGTTTGGATATATTGTAGGCCTACATCCATTTAAACCGTAGGGTGAGCTCCATTTAGGCTATGTATAGAAAAAGAAAATACAGTACCGGTAATGCAAACTTCTAAGTACAAATACATATATGTTCAAAGATACGGATAATGTTTGCGAGACAGTACTTCCCAATGTGTTTAACAAAGTACCGAAGTACCACAATACTCTAGCCGTGCAGCCATTGAGGCCTGGGATACGCAGTAGTTTTCGTGGTTCGATAGCGCCCCCTCCCCCATGTCGACGCTCCAATTCTCGCCTTTTCATAATTAATTCATCTGATATCTCTGTTGTCGACCTCTGTTGTAGCTGATTTGTAACCATGACACTGCGCTCAATTATTAACTTTGTGTTTTCACCGATGTTTTTACTTTTTGTACGTGCTTCTAAAACTTTCGACGTAGCTTTTGCGTTGTGATTATCTTGAAAAGGTTGATTGGGTGAAGTAATTTTTACTTCTTTGACGTTAGAGTTATAGCTAAACCTGTTAGTGTTGGAGCCAAGTAAGGTTCCGAGTTCTAATCCTGACAATCACTAACTTTTGACTTCGTAATAATTCCAACCACATGCCATGTCTGAAATAATGTGTGAACTTGTTCCAGCATAGAGCCTAGCTTCTAGTACCTACCTGTTTTAAAGTATTGTTCACAGTCCAAACCTTTTACTTTTGCCATCAACGTCAAAAAATTGCCAAAAGTATAAAATACTATCCTCATCCTGTGTGACTGAAGCTAACGACAAGACACGCCACTCTTTGGTCAGTGTCGTGATTTCCATTTATTTCACCCCTTCTCGGAAGGACAGGGATGTTGGGGGTTTTTCTGGTTTACCTGTGCCTGCTACATTCCTTCTGCCACTGTGTCCCTTTGTCCATCCGCCGACATGTCGTGCCTCCTGCCTTTTGCTGGACATGTTTTTCTAGCTGTCTTGTTTTCAGGTGTCTCTATTCTAACTTGTAAACTGTTGGTAAGCTTTGAGTGTTGTGAGATTGCTAAAAAGGGTTTAAAGTCTCGATCAGTATCTATTCGGTGTCGCAAAAAAAACTAGACAACTCATCTATAGGAAATCTTCTTCAGGTAGACTCCACGCAGCAATATACAGCCACAGAGAAAAAATAACCCAACTAAAATCCTTTACAGAAACACTCCCAGTACAGTCCTTACTCGGTGCAAGATGCAACTTCAAAGTCAGCCGACTCATCTACAACCCCTTCTTCAGAGATATGCTATACCAACAAGCGTCATGCAACCACAAAGCTACAAGAACTCAACTACAATCCTTATTCCCCTAGTAATTGTCTGATGATCGCCTCATCATCATTATCTCAATTACTCGCTGTTGTGTTTTATAATTCAATAAACCCCCACCAGTCGTCGCTGGCCACTAACCATGGAAGGGAGCCAATGCGCTCTGTGCAACTACCGACCTATTGTCTTCATACGGCTATTTTGAAATTAAGATTTAGACGTCATTTAGGTACATTAATAGATTTGGATCTTGTCGAGTAAATGCAAGTGTCATGTGAAGTGCGTCATTATAGAATAGTAGTATACTCCGTCGCGGCTTTGATCATAGTTAAAATTTTAAAAGGTTTTACGTGATAGATAAAAAAATATGGATATGATTGGAAAATGGGATGTATTTGAACTATTATAATTGTATAATTTAATCTAAAACCAAATACTACATTATCTTAAAGTGCTTCATAATAACCTTGTGGTCCTCTGATTGTTTCATAGGGTTTTTCTTAAGGTTCTTTTCTAGATTTATTGATGAGGGTTGTGTCTTGTGGACACATTGACACATGTCTTAATCTTTGCCAGAGTTGTACACCATTTACATCATAAGACACTAGCCGTAATTGTTTCACTTTCGTCTGTGATATACTTAAGTTCAAGTAGATTGTAATGCACATCCGATCACTTGTTGAGATGCACAGTCGAGTGGTCCACTATTACAATGAGGTGTTCGCCAGTTCACCACTACACCAACACTCGACATATCAAGAGCTACTCCTGACAAGAGCGCCTCCCAACTAAACCTAGGATGCTGTACTGAAAACATCGGTCGTTAATAAAGAGTGTCAAAGTATTTTTTTATTTAGAAAAAACAAGTTATAGGGTGAGTGTAGATATCTTTTATGTCGAAAATGCCAAGTGTTTTGCAACCTGAATTATTTAAGATAAACATTACTTTTTTCTAATTTGTTGACAGTTAAATGAATCAGTTTGTTAACAGTTTTTTGTTGATCTAACTGCTCTTGATGAGTGATTTACTACAGACGAATTTTTTTTTATTAGAGTTGGGTTGCTTATTGATATAAATCGATAGGATTACAAATGTGTATTATAACTTTTCTGTTTGTTCTATTCCCAATGACTTGCCTATAACACACGAATATATTTTCTTCAAAAACAGAAAATGTATTCTTTCAATTTTCACACTGTGCTCGCAAAGTACGCCAAGTTGACCACTTAGCGGTTGCAATTGCGGCACTAAACTGAACAATGGCGGAGTAAATGTCAACCTGGCGTCTCGTTTATTTATCGTCTTGTAGCAGTCTAACTGGTGTGCAAGGTCGCGAACGTTAGTACCACAGAATCGCTCACTGACAGCCCTGTCAGTCACAGCAGACACGTATGCAGAAACTGATGAATATCTCGACATGTTTTCACCTCGGGTAGTACCAGTGATCTGTGTTGACAAGACCGATGTTTTCTGACGGGTAGTAGCTGACCTGCCAGTCTAGGAAGCCACCCTACAGCTGTCTACCTAACCTTTACCTTCCGTTTCCTTTGGGGTGGTTTTGCATTCTTTTTGCCGCTTTTTGTCGGGTTTTACGCCGCTTTGTGTGGGAAGCTTCGCCTACTTTCTAGGAATTAAGGGACAATAAGGTAATACCGGCTTCTTAGACAAGCTTGGCCGCAAAGGGAATAAAAGGATGGATTTTTCGTTCTCAAATACTGTAATATTAAATCGTCGATACCCTATAAATTTAAATTGCAGTTGTCTTGTTTATTTTTTTAGTGTCGTCGCCAGTAGCAACTTATAAACGCTTTTGAGGCAAATCGGTCCAAGCTACACAAATGTTTGTGAGCGGGGAATTGAACCCACCTCTCTCGCACCAATGGTAAAACGATCGACTAGCAACATGCCCCCTTCATAACTAATTTGTTACTTTTAAAACATTTCAAATCAAAATGAATTCGATTTGAGATATCAGTTTTGACAATTGGTCCAATTTTCTTTGCCCTCCTACTGTGCTGCATTTCAATCAACTTAACCATAAACGATTTCCTAGTTAGCCAGCATTACCCAAATTACTCAGTTTAGTGAGCCGCTGTGGGCAACATACGTTCGATCTCCATTAGTCTAATGCAAACGCTATATGCGGGTGTTCCCTTCGGCTTTCAAACACAAATTGTTTGATTATTCTCATCACATATTAGTCTGTCACAAAACAAGTAAATTTGTCCGTGAAACCCTTCAAACTACTCGAGAATTGATGGAGATTTTCTAGCCTCTGCTCGCCGGTCAAAACACATGCTGGGCCATTTTGGGACGCATTATTCGGAAAGTTTGTAGGTTTATTGTGGGACTTCCCACGCCCCGGCCTCCCCTGCTCTTTTCACGGGCTTTGTTTGGGCCCTCCACTCGCATGGAATGGAAAGCCCATTTCGGTTTGAAAGTCAAATCTATTTTGGAAATGGTTTCATAATAGGAAGTTTGTGAGTGACCAGGTAACTAATTTGTTGACGGAAATACGGTTTGCCTTGAATGTAAGTGATTTTAGAGTGCATAGGCAGTTTTAAGAACAGTCTAAAATTTGTTTACGAACCTCATTGTGTTTACAGTTCCATAATAGCTTGTATAAGTCGATACTTACTATAGTAGATTGTAACATAATTTACAAACGTGTTAATCTTGCTCGTACATAATAAAATCGATGAACTTTTTTATACTCACTACTTCACACCTATCAATCATTTCCAGTCATAACAAATTGTCTTGAGTTCTCCAATATCGCAAAACCAGTCCTTCGTAAAAAGTGGTTTCGTGTTCCATAATTAATTGTGGCAACCCATTTGTTCCTTAAGTTTGGCCTCCAATTCGTCTAAACCTTGTAAATCGTAGCATCCTGGCCATTGTTCTGCCCAGGCGTTGTCTCCTGTGCGTTACGCGTTACGCGTTGCGCGTATGTGACGCGATTACGCAAGATCCGCGCACCACGCTGGGCAGCTGTGTAGTGTCTAATCCCAGGGTAACGGTACCCTTTTGTTCAAACGCCCCCTCAGGAAGTCGCTACCTCTTCTTTTTGTGGCTTCGAACTGCTAATCTGCTTCCCACCTCGGCTGTATTGCGATCACACGCAGGCTACTAGAGTAGCGGACGATGTTTATCTAGGTAATTAGATTGCTTGATAGATAATGTTCGAGCTCGTAGAATCTATTGCTGGAGGAGAACGAACTTTATTTGTTTATTCTTCTATTGATGATGATGATAATGGTCACACAGAAAGTTGCTTTTATATTGCACAAATGAAGGGTTGGCATCCAGATATGGATGTTTCACTTCATACAGTTCTACCATGTTCTACACTCTGTCCATGACTACCCCTATCCCACTATTTCCAATTCTGATAGTCCAAGGCCATTCCTTTCTTACTCCATGTCAAATTCGTATCGTTTCCTAATCTTACGTTATGTCCAGAGTCCCCATACTATGACGTCCAAAACATGAAGCTGCATACCGATCCCAACGCCTCCCTGATTTACTCTATCGTCCGACTCCTACCCCACCATGTCCAACACCTTACGACCACCTTTTGCCTACTCTATGTACAGACTCCTTACTCTATGTGCTATACTCTGTGTGCAACATTTCCCGCGCTGACGCCGTGTTGTTGTTGTTCAGGGAGTGGTCGCCCGGCGGCGCCGCGCAGCAGCAACTATCTGTGGTGACCACGGTCTGGGGAGTGACCACGTCAACGCAGTCGGCGCCCCAGAACTTCGGCGCAGGCTATAGTAGCTCTAACGCCAACAAGGCGGGGGTTGGACCATCGTACCCAGGCCCACATTACAGGCAGAACACGCCGGGGTAAGTCATCACTATTTTGTACTTTTGGGATTTTGTTGCAAAGTTATTTGCAAAATATGTTTCAGTACAGCAAGTCTATGCTTGACACACATCAGCAAGGTTACCCCTAATAATGTTAAACATTTTGGACAATGTATACGAGTTTGCTTTATATTTTAGGTATTTATGTATATATTAATATATTGGCCAAATCCGGTGCAAAGGACCAAAATAAGTACAATTTTAAAACTTTTTTTCAATTTACTGTAATATTCCACGAGTCATTTACATTTTTAACACTTTGTTTGGTTATCAACACGGATTTGTTTCCTTAAAATACACTTTCCTAAAAATACTTGAAAAAATAAAAATCCTGCTCGAGGGACAAAAATATTTTTTAACATGTTAAAACCCAATATATTATAGTTATTCGAGACTTTTGTCATGTTGATGTATAGAATAATTCGTTCCTATATCCAAAAACGCTCCAGCTGATTCATGTGTGATATGAACACTTTTAAATTACGTATTTCGCCATTACCTCCAGACGACATCCTCTATTTCCTCCGCCCTCTCCTTGGCCTGGAAGTCCCGAACCTTACGAACACAGATAACTGTAAACATTGTCCGAGCCATCAAGGCTTTGTCCGTGGCGATCTATTCTCGTACTGCAACCTCTGCCAGACGTTGCCGTGTTTACTGATTGAAACTGTTGAAATTTGCTGCTTCGTCAGATTCGTTGATAAATAAAATAAAGATAGAAATAAAATTGGAAGTTATTGAAGTATATATTTTTTGTGATTGTACCACGGACGCACATTTATTTATGTAGTTTGCTTGATACCTCGAATACATCAGATTGTGGATTCTCGTAGATTCTAAAGCTTATTGGGAAACCTAAAAGTCATAACTTGAATGCTTTTACAGAGTAATTTGACCAAAACACGAAGCGACACAGTGTCGAAGAATTAAACTATGTACTCCAGGCTAGATAGGGGATTCTCGCGAATAAGCAGAAGCAAATTTGAATTTTTCACATGAAACCTTCAATGCGAACAAATAATCCAAAAATAAATCAACCTTTCAATGTGGATTCCACTGAGTAGCATTTCCAATAATAAGACTTTCACCGTCGATTCAGATAACGATTCTATATAGTCTGTATGATGGGACCTGTTCCATGTCCCTCGGTCTACCCCCGACTAGCCAATGGTTTAAGGGGGCCATACGCAAGTTGGCCCGGTCAGGAGACAGGTTCCATCATACAAACTATAATCAGTTAATGCACTCGAATGAGATGACAACGATTCTCTATAGTCTTTACGATGGAACTTGACCCAGTCCCTCCGTCTACCTAGGGACTAGCTAATGGTCAATCCCAATTTTACCCGGTCATGAGACAGGTTCCATCATACAGACTATAATCAGTAAATGCACTCGAATGAGATGATAACGATTCTCTATAGTCTGTACGATGGAACTTGTCCCATGTCCCTCGGTCTACCCCCGACTAGCCAATGGTTTGGGGGGTCAGTTCCAAGTTGACCCGGTCAGGAGACAGGTTCCATTAAACATACTATAATCATTTAAATGCCCAAACTTGTTCAGGAAGACATCTTCATGCCTTGTTTGTGACAAGATTGCTCTTCTGGTCCACGTTGCCTCTGTTATCAATTGTAGTTTTATCAATTAAGCAAATAGTTTTATCAAGTTGGCAGCGTCTTCGCCGGGAACACTTGTATGTGGTGCGTTCACAGTAGCTCTTCGATTACTCTATAGACAGGTAATACTTCTATTGGTTTGAGTTTCAATGTCTATAATTAGTTTTTGACGCTTTTGCCATTGATTGTTTCTTACAAGATTCATTGAAATGCTAATTTTATCACGTGTTTCATTCATTACTTGTACAATTTAAGATTTTAAAGTTACTGGATGGTGAAATATCTACGAGATGCGTAGAATATAATACATTTTTTACTTTTATTTCTTAAATCCCAATCTTACGTTGGTTTAACTTTTCAATGTATTCTTGCGATTGCTTATTGATATTTAGTCATAGGAACAGTATTAAAACAGTGGTATCGATCGATGATTTTTTTCTAAGTTTTAGAAGAGGAGAATACAGCCACGTCACACATAGTCTTATAATACATTGTCTGTTAATGATTAATTATTTCTGGCCAAACACCTAATTTAAATTATTATATTGCTTTCCATTTAAACAAATAATTACCGGAACTGCAGAATCAAGACCTCAATTAAATATTGCGCAACTATTATTATTCAATAAAACCCCATGAATTTTTACTCAAGTCTCCGATGTTGTTTGTAATTTTTGCCATATTCAATACCTAATGTGTACTTATTGTTGACTTACAATCTCGTCATATTTAAATCAAAATTTTACCAAATGGCCATTTTAAACGCGTTTTATACTCAATGGAGAGTTCTAGTACCATTCACAGGTTATGTTTACGCTGCCGTAGACGAGATATCGTACATAAAAAATAATATTTCTAAAAAAAACACCCAAGTCCTCAATTTATACAATTTTAATGTTTACATTAAAGTGATTTAGTTTTGTTGTTGCTAAATCAATAAATTGCTGAGTTACGAGTATTCGTAAAGTGGATTGCAATAGTGTTTGCTTATCTTTCAATTAACATTAAACGTATATTTAATTTGTAAACACTTGATGACGAAAATGGTGTGTCTATACCATCGTTTAACCTCACACTAGGCCCATTTACTTTGTGCACTTTAGACCAATGTTCAGTCAATGCTATAGTCCTTCAACACCGATGAAATCCCTGGTGCAACCTAATTCCAAACAGAACCTTGAGGTGAACATCAATATGTCCCCGACGCAGTTTTCACCGACACAACGAGCGTCGACCTCAAGTTTCATGTTCGTTTGTTCCACGTGACCTTGAGTTCTACGTTACATTTCCTTATAGATCGAATGATAAACATCGTTCCTAAGTGGCTACAGTCACGTACCCAACTAATGTTTCTTAAATTTCTAACCAATAATTTGAAAATATTGGCTCCTCTACATTAGGTTAAGGTGGACACAGTTCGGACCACAAAAGGACCGAACAATGAGATGTACGTTGAAAGTGTATATTGAATTCATGCAGATTTTCCATGTCACCGGAATACTGACCTATTTTGCGTTTCCTACAACTACTCATATCCTGTTCCTTGGGGAACTTTCTAATAGGGAAGTGTTACTAAACGTATTAAGTAGTACATTCTAAATCATTAAAGTAAATTTATAAAGTAATGAGAAAACGGTAAAATTATTGGGTCGCCGGAAGACTGCCCCCCGGAAAACTACCCCCCAAGCAGGTTCCTACGTCATATTGACGTCAGAGACCGGGGGGGCAGTTTTCCAGTCACGGACACTCAAATTTAGTTGTCAAACAGTTCTAATCTAACCTAACCTAACCAACCAAACTTGCTGTGACACTTCGAAAATCTGTTTTATATTCACCATATGCCTTTACTATTATCTAACGGAATTACTCGAATTAAAATTAAAATTACATAGCATGATTTGTCTAGGGGGGGGGGGGTAGTATTCCAGTCGCGGACACGGCTTCCATATTGGTTAGTTAGCAGATTTTGTGACGTCACGTTTCACCTGGGGGGGTAGTTTTCCGGGGGATAGTATTCCGCATCCCCAAATTATTCACTATAATTTCAAAATGCTGCGAGGCTAAATTGCTATTTACTACAATGTGTAACATTAAATTATTTTATTTGATAAGTTCTGTTGTGTGCAGTAAAGAATGCACAATCATGTAAAAAACTAATGTCTGCAAAATTCTTATCCTATTTTACACTTTAAACACTTACAAAAACTTGCTTTGCGCTTTAGAATTACCTGCGATCAATGTGGATAAACTGTAGCAAGAATACACTGTGCAGTGTGTAGAACGGAAACAGTATGGATTATAAACCTAAACAAATTATGCCACTGTTCCGAAAGTAATCGTTTTTTTATTAATTTTTAAATGGAACTGTCAAAAATCGCCCAAACCAGCTGTTAGGGCTAATAGTATATGCATTCGGGCTAGTGACGTCATTTGTTTATGTTTATGATCCATAACATTTCTCTTCTGTTTTAATATTCGTGTACGGTTGTACTGTATGCGATCAGCTATGTTCTGCTATTAGATATGGTTAGTTGTATGCTGTTGTCATTTTTGAATCGCGATCTGCTCTGTGCTGTTATCAGCTGTGTCGCGATCAGCTCTGTGATGTTATCAGCTGTGTCGCGATCAGCTCTGTGATGTTATCAGCTGTGTCGCGATCTGCTCTGTGCTGTTACTAGCTGTGTCGCGATCAGCTCTGTGATGTTATCAGCTGTGTCGCGATCAGCTCTGTGATGTTATCAGCTGTGTCGCGATCTGCTCTGTGCTGTCACTAGCTGTGTCGCGATCAGCTCTGTGATGTTATCAGCTGTGTCGCGATCAGCTCTGTGATGTCATCAGCTGTGTCGCGATCTGCTCTGTGCTGTTACTAGCTGTGTCGCGATCAGCTCTGTGATGTTATCAGCTGTGTCGCGATCTGCTCTGTGATGTTATCAGCTGTGTCGCGATCTGCTCTGTGCTGTCACTAGCTGTGTCGCGATCAGCTCTGTGATGTTATCAGCTGTGTCGCGATCAGCTCTGTGATGTTATCAGCTGTGTCGCGATCTGCTCTGTGCTGTCACTAGCTGTGTCGCGATCAGCTCTGTGATGTTATCAGCTGTGTCGCGATCAGCTCTGTGATGTTATCAGCTGTGTCGCGATCTGCTCTGTGATGTTATCAGCTGTGTCGCGATCTGCTCTGTGCTGTCACTAGCTGTGTCGCGATCAGCTCTGTGATGTTATCAGCTGTGTCGCGATCAGCTCTGTGATGTTATCAGCTGTGTCGCGATCTGCTCTGTGCTGTCACTAGCTGTGTCGCGATCAGCTCTGTGATGTTATCAGTTGTGTCGCGATCAGCTCTGTGATGTTACTAGCTGTGTCGCG